TACATCTAATTTGTTCAAAGGGCAATGTTACTCTATGAAAGTTATAAACATCAAGATAATTTTCCCTTTTTAATTTATTAAAATTCAAAATAGGTTTCCAATCCTTTTTCTAGCTGCTAAAATTGTATGAGAATTTAGCATCTGAGATGTCTAAGGAACTTTAAAAGCAACCCGCCAATGTTGTGTTAGCCGAGAGGAAAGTACATTGGATGAAGAAAATAGAACGTCTTTTGATTTTTTTACATGTTTAGAACATTGCATAAAATGTTTATGAAGCGTGGCCCTTTCTTTTATGTAGCCTACTCACACAATCTAAACTATAATGCAACCATAATCCAATTTTGAAAGTACATTTAATATGACCCATAGACAATGCCTCAAAGCTAAAGCGTTTCATTTCTGTTGCTTCTGTATTCATACAGAAATTGGCGTCTGTTTTGTTTTATACGATTTTATTTATTATCCTTTTTTCTCCTTTTCATTCTCCTCATCCTTTTCCTCTACTTCATGAGTTGCTTTCTTGGGATATCGCAAAATTGCCTTTTAGACTTCAGTTGCAACAGTTGTCATACATGTATCTGCCTTATTAAGTTGTCTGCCTTATTATTTAAAGTCTGCTTCTAAATATTATTTACATTGTTCCATATCTAAGCACGTTTCCTCCGTCTCATAATAGACGTTTTTGGATGTGTGGTGCTGCTCTGAGGCAGAGATTTTGAACCAAACAGGTATCACCTAAGCTACTTTGAGGCAATGGGATCCAGTTTCTTTATCTCTCTTTGGGCTGGTTCCTCGTCTTTCCTATTCTGTCATATCAAAGCTCATCAGTCTTTGCTATTTTACAAAAATCGGTCCCCTCCCTCTTTTATTTGATGAAGTCTAGCTCATTTCTGAAAACCTCTAGGACATTTTTATAACGTTGAAAGGAACTTTTAGACTCCTTTTTTGGTTTTTCTCCTGGACTGCCTCTACAAAGAAAGCGTTTGCACATAGTTTGCTGAGTCTTTGTAGAACACTTTTTGACTTGAGTTCCCTGTAATGTTCTCTATCTCTATATGATCTGAATAGTCTTAGTATCTGCACATGTAACTTGTATATAATTAGACATAGCCAGGAAGGTCCAAACTTTATCTGTACAATGACCATTTATCTACCTAGTACTGAAATATATCCCACATCTTTAAAATAAAAATTTTAAAAAGACATAGCCATAAAAATATATTTTTCTCCCTCCCTCTCTCACACACACACACACACACACACACACACACACACACACACACGCACACACAGAGAAATACTACCTCCCCATTAATATTCAATTATTTTAGTGGTGTGGGGAAATGGAACACTTGAGGAAATGAATGTGTTTATTTTTAAGAAAAGTGATATTAGATTTTGTAGTAGGACATTAAAAAAAGAAAATATATCATTTTCATCATTCTATTTTGTATTACCTTTGTCTGAATCATTTTATAATGGTAAATGTATGTTTTACCTTATTTTTCACTTCCATCTTGTGTTGAAAAATAGACTAAATAATTAATGTTTTAAATATCCCATCTGTTTTTTTTACACACGTCTTGTTGTAATTTGCTAGTTGATAACAAAAGAATAAGCTTTTTATCAGTTTGATGCCAACATGATTGTTAATCATAAAGATACTTACATACCTTTTTCTTTAAAATAGACAGCCTATATTTGAATTGCATTTTTAACTTCCTTACACTTAAGTAAAATACAGCTTGTATCTGTCATCCAGCTCAGAGTGAGTATTACGTTTTAAGTTTTTGACTAAAATTGTTTATAAGAACTGAATAACACCTCTATATAAAGTTAATTGGGTCAACCATTATGTTAGGATCAGAATTAAAGTAGCTGAGAGTGTAATGAAGACCATGAGAACAATCTCACTTTCTAGGTAGCAATAAACCATTTATTTTTTTGGCAATAGTACTTGACAAATGTACACTTAGAAACCAATGATCAATTCGGAAGACTGTTGAAATAAAAATCACTCTATCACTTTATACTCTTTGTCACATATGTGCCAGGCACAGTTCGAGGCATTTGGGGGTACATCACTACTGACAGATAAACTGCTACCTTATACTGATTACACAATCTGTTGTCTCCAAATTCATTTTGTGGTCTATACCTTCAACAATCGCCCTGTTGCTTTAGAATGTTAACAATAATTTAAATTTTCTCCATATCAACACTGACAGAACATGTGGATATTAAGGTTAAATGATGATGTGTACCTTATCTTTTTTTTCAATAGTAACTCACACACAAGTGTTTCCGTGTTTTTATGACAAGACACAATGATACGCAACTGATAACAAGAGAGAAACCACACCGTGGTTTAGACTTAAACAGAAGTTTTAATTATTAAATTTTTAGAAAAGAGTAACTATAGAATGTAAAAGATCTGTATATGATCCCCTAAGACTGTGAGAAATTACCTAAGAAAAAATAAACTGGGAAGGGGGCTCTTCCCCAAGGCTGGGGTCCAGACCTAGCTGGAAAAGGTGCAGTTTAACCCATTGAGTACCAGAGTTGGCATGTTCCTTCAGGTCAAGGCTGCTCTGTTGTAGCGGGACAAGCAGAAAAAGGCTTTTGGAGGACAAGGCAAGGCAGTCAGCAACTGGTGGTGTGGGAATACAATAGACGAGAGTCCCCGTATGCAAAGGTGAGTGGCTTGGCCTACAAACACAGTGGAGACCCAGTGGTAAGACCTCAACCCTGTGCAAACTACTAGGAATCTTACAGAAGAGGGGTCCCCAGTCCCAGGGTCACACACCAGTACCAGTCTGTGGCCTGTTAGGAACCAGGTTGCACAGGAGGAAGCCGGCAGCAGGCAAGCAAGTGAAGTTTCTTCTGTATTTACAGCCGCTCCCCATCGCTGCTGGCATTGTCACCTGAGTTCTGCCTTCTGTCAGATCAGCTGCAGCTTGTGCAGGTGAGGGATCTAGGTTGCACGCTCCTTATGAAAATCTAGTGCCTGATGATTTGAGGTGGAGCTGAGGTGGTGATGCTAACGCTGGGGAGTGCTGCAAACACAGAATAACATCAGCGATGAGGTTTGACTGTACATCCCATTCCTACCTCATCCGTGGAAAAATTGTTTTCCACGAAAGCAGTTCCTGATGCCAAAATGGTTGGGAACCACAGCTGTAAGAGAATCAAAATATTTACATGGGCAGAAAGCCTTCAGCCAGCGGTTTCCATGTCTAAGAAGCCTTGAAAGGGTGTTTCTAGGATGACCTCTGCAGGGTTTCTGAGGGACTGTCTGTTCTGGGGTTAACTAACTGGGTTAGCAGGGTTCCATAGGATGTCCTCAACCTCTACTGCCGTCAGGAAGAGCAGGAGAGTCCCTTCTTCCTGCAATGTGGCCCTAGCACCTGCTACTAAGAAAGCTTAATATTATGATTAACATAAAAAAGAGATGCTTAAAGGAATTATGTCTGTTAAGACAGAGTGTGTGAGGAAAGGAGAATTTGAAGGTGAGAGGAAATAAATTGATAGCAGGCACAGTAAAATTCTACTGTACATTAAAAATAGTATCTTATTTTTAGTCAACATTATAATGACTGTATAAAACACAGTCCTGCAAAGCCTGTCTAAGTCTATAGTATATTCTGAATTCTGAATGATGTTGTAAGAACATGAATTGTTTATTTGGAATATATTGGTCCAAAGAGTTATGTAGATGTTACAAATGCTGACACTTTTCATGATGCAATACCAACAATCGTTATTTTCACTACTGATGTTATCTAAAAGTCGTTAAGTTTTTAGAAGTTGTCGATTTCAGGATGGTCAATACAAGTTCTACAAAATGCTAATTTTCTTTTAAAAACTTGACTGTCATCATTAGCTTCATTACTTGCCTTCCTTTATGTGGTAGTCTCACTTCATTCCCTTTTATGACCATGTTTGCTCAATTACCATTTTGTCCCTCGTCTTTCTTTCAAGCAAAAATTGTGTTCTATGAGAAAAAACAACTAGTTTAACTTGTAACTCAGAACAAATGATATACTTAGGTAGGCCACAAACAGGCTGTATGTGTACTAACAATTTTGTCATGAAAAGTATTAAAACAATATATACTCATGGGTTTAATTTAATATAATATTTTTCCCACTTCTTCAAGGTCATTATTAATGATACTTGCCTTTTTTACATGAGCGCATGGCAGTGAAAAACACAATGACTACTGGTACTGTTTGTTGTCAACTCTTTTATCCACCATTGTTTTTGCACCCTCAGTAAACAAACAGCATTCTTGCAAAAAAAAAAAAAAAAAAAAAGTGATCCGGCTCAGTGGCTCAGCCTGTAATCCCGCGCCTTTGGGAGGCTGAGGTGAGTGGATTGCCCGAACCCACGGGTTCGAGACCCGCCTGGGCAGGTGAGACCTCATCTCTACAATAAATCAAAAAAAATCAGCCAGGCGTGGTAGCACGCACCTGTAGTTCCGGCTATTCGGAAGGCTGAGGCGGAAGGATCGCCGGAGCCCAGCAGGTCGAGGCTGCGGTGGCCGGAAGCGGCCACTGCACTCCAGTCTGGGTGACAGAGTGAGACTCCAACTCAAAAAAAAAAAACAAAACAAAAACCCCACCCCAGCTGGGCTTGGTGGCTCAGCCTGTAATCCCATGCTTTGGGAGGCTGAGGTGAGTGGATTGCCTGACTTGCGGGTTCGAGGCCCACCTGGGCAACTTGATGAGACCTCATCTCTGGGCGACAGAGTGAGACTCCAATCAAAAAAACAAAAAACACCGAAATCGTGTGTCTGGGCAGAGCTGGGTCTAGAAGTTTCTGCTGCAGACTTTTTTTTTTAGAGATGGGGTCTCACTATGTTGTCCAGGCTGGACTCGAACCCTACTGCAGACTTTGGGAAGGGGAGTGGGGTGGAGGAGCCGGGCGGGGCCTCCTCGCCTGTCCCTCTGCGCCGAGGCCGGCCAGGGATGTGTCTGGCGGGAATGCAGCAAGTGACACTAGTGTGGCTCTGAGGGGACGGCCGGGACAGGGCCGGGGCACCTACCCACTCCTCCGAAGGGCAGGCTGGGGAGCGTCATGTGCATGAAGCCATCGTTCCCGCAGAAGCCTCCGCTGCTGGTCCGGGCCAGCACCTCTTCGATCACCTGGGAGAGACAGGCGTAGGTGAGGCCGGCCCGGCCCTGTCCGGAGCCCCCATGTCCCTCCCCCCGGGCCCAGGAACCGAGCCGGGCTGAGTCAGTGACACCCATCTTGGTTCTAGAAAGGCCCATGCACCCATGTCTGCTTCTTGCAAAACTCCAGAAAATAGCCGGGCACGGTGGCTCACGCCTGTCATCCCAGCCCTTTGGGAGGCAGAGACGAGAGGATTGCCTCAGCCCAGGGGTCCAAGACCGGCCTGGGCAACTTGGCAAGACCCCATCTCTACAATAATAAATAAATCAAAATTAGGCCAGGCGTGGCAGCCCGAGCCTGTGGTTCCAGCTCCTTGGAAGGTGAGGCGGAAGGATCGCCGGAGCCCAGCAGGTCGAGGCTGTGGGGGCCGGGAGCGTGGCCCTGCCCTCCAGCCTCCGACTCGAAAAAAAAAAGAATTCCGGAAAATAGATGGAGAGCCTCTCGCCAGCAGGAAAGCCAGTCACCCCAGCCACACTTGGAGATTCCTAAATTCCCAAGGGAGCCCTGGCAGCACCAGCCTGTGGAGAGGCCAGGATCAACCTCCCCGGCCGTGTGTGGCCCCAGGGACCCCGGCGCCATGTGGGAGACAGGCCCCCGCCTCTGTGGGATCTCCCCAAAGCCCACAGCCCTTGTCTCATCATGAGAATTACAGGTGGCCCGAGGCTGGGACATCCCAGGGGACGGGCCACACTCCTCAGGTGAGAGGTTGAGTTCATGCATCGTGGGACCCTGGCTTGGCTCTTGGGGCCAAAAGACGACGTTAGTGGAAAAAGTGTCAAAATCCGAATACAGTAGGGAGTGTAGTCAATAGGAACACACCCGCGTCGCTTTCTTTGTTTTTCTTTTAGTTTTCTGATCTTCGCGGAGAGGGGTCTCACTATGTATGCACCGACTAGGCTTGAACTCCTGGCCTCAAGCAATCCTCCTGCCTCGGCCTCCCAAAGTCCTGGGATAGCAGGTGTGAGCCACAGCACCCAGCACGTTCTTAGTTTTGACCAACGTGAGGGCCCCGCATGGGGACCTGGGTGGGGCTTATGGGAACCCTCTGTACTATCTTTACAACTTTTCTAGAAACCTAAAATCATTCCCCAATAAAAAGTTTATTTTAAAAAGCATGGTATGCCGGGCTCAGTGGCTCAGCCCGTAATCCCGCGCCTTTGGGAGGCTGAGGTGAGTGGATTGCCTGAGCCCGCGGGTTCGAGACCCGCCTGGGCAGGCGAGACCTCATGTCTACGCTAAAATCAAAAAACTAGCCGGACGTGGTAGCGCACGCCTGTAATTCCGGCTACTCGGAAGGCTGAGACGGAAGGATCGCCGCAGCCCAGCAGGTCGAGGCTGCGGTGGCCGGGAGTGGCCACTTGCACTCCAGTCTGGGAGACAGAGTGAGACTCCAACTCAAAAATAAATAAATAAATAAATAAATAAAAAGCATGCTGCAACCAGGTGTGGTGACTCACTCCTGCCATCTCAGCGCTTTGGCAGGCCGAGGTGAGAGGATGGCCTGAGCCCATGGATTCGCGACCAGCCTGGGCAACTGGGTGAGACCTTGTCTCTACAATTAAAAAAAAAATTTAAGCTGGGCTCAGTGGCTCAGCCTGTAATCCCACGCCTTGGGAGGCTGAGGTGAGTGGATTGCCGGAGCCCG